GTCCAAGTTGGATCAGAGGGTCCCAATGCACTTGTTGTGCTACCCCGTCATGATGATGTCACTATTGTGAAGTTTTTGAATGTTATCAAGATGTTGACATAGGCTATGATAGCACAGGTTGATTGCCATGGAGTGGACCATCATGTTGGGACTAGCACATCCAGAGTTCGAGAGTTTTGGGGGATGAATCCCACAGAGTTCATTGGGTCAAAGCTCAATGAAGATCCAAAAAACTTTGTGGATGAGGTTTAGAAAGTGTTTGAGGACATGCATATTGTTGATTCTGAGTGTATGGAGTTGGTTACATACCAACTCAAGGGTGTTTCCAGGATATGGTACGACCTGAGGAAAAAGACTAGAGCAGAAGGTGCACCACTCTTAGGCTGGACTGTGTTTGAGAATGCTTTCTTGGGTGCTTCTTTCCCCCCGAGAGGTAAGAGAAGCAAAGGTGATGGAGTTCTTTAATCTGAAGTAGGATTCTATAACTGTGTAGGAATACAACTTCAAGTTCACCGAGTTATCTCATTATGCTTCAAAGATGGTGGCTAATATGAGGAGCAAAATGAGTTTGTATGTGTCATGACTCTCGCGCTACTCAAATAAGGAAGGTAAGACGGCTATGCTGATAGGAGACATGGACATAGTGATACACCCAAATTACATCTCCCTAAAAAACTATAAGTGGTCGTTGTCAAACAAAGAAACTAACTAAGTTTAGGGTCGATCCCATGAGGAATATGGTCTAAACATAAGCTAATTTATTGTGGATTGTATTTTTAGTCAACTTCTTCTGTAAAAGGGGGGGGGGTTTTGTAACATAAATTAATAAATGATTAATTTGTAGCAACAAGTAATAAGTAACAATTAGCAGAATTTACAGTTTGTAATATCATTATGAGATTGAAACCAGGGCATGTGTGTTCCCCACAAGTTCTTAACGTAATAATCTCAATAATAGTAACTATTTCCTAGTGTCTAACATGTAAAGTCGGTAAGTTAGGTATCTCCTAAATGATTGGTCATCCAAATAGAGGATTTCACCGCGCAACTTGGTCAGTCTATATGTGTATACTTTACTAACCCTTACCCTTGACTCCATATTTGCCCTCACTTATTTGGGTTAGGCTATTAGAGCGGATTATCATGCTAAATCTCCGTTGTTTAATCTCTTTCCCATTCATTACTTCCTTGGTCAGGTAAGTAGGAATGAGGCAAGTTCTAACGTTGCGTACCATTAAAAATCATTCAAAGCGAAGAGATTAACAACACATGCATAAACACTATTTTAGAATTACTTAGTTATTAGTTTTACTTTGTTAATAACTCATGGTTCCCACAACCCTAGTTTTGGATTTAGTTACTCATATCTGTGTGTTCATAATTCATATTAGGGTTAGTAAAATAAATCATGAACTTACTATTAGAATAGATGAAATCTGGAATCTTGAATTGAAGAACAAATACAAATTTCATAAACCAAACTTCAAGAATTAAATGTCGAAAGAGTTCGCAAAATAATTCTCAAAGCCAAAAGTAAGTATCTCAAAACGTCTAACAACCCAAAAAATGAAAAATACAACTAATATTTATTGAAAACAAATCCTAAATCAAGTATGATAAGGAAGACTAAGGAGATTCGGCTTGGGTAGTGTCATCTACGGTTGGTGACCTACGACTCGTAGTAGTTTCTACGACTCGTAGGTACCTTCCGCCAGTCAGCACTTGGTCCATCATTTTTTGATTGCTTTCTACGAGCATGACTTACGGTTCGTAAGTCTATGTACCGTCCATCTTGTTCAACCGCTGTTCATGAACTGGAGCTCATTCTTTCTGTACTTTTCTATGACTCCTTATGTATAACTTGTAGTGGTAACTACGGCTCGTCAGTCTGCTTTCACCTTCCATACTTAGTTCCAATTCTCAGCACTTCAACTTGCAGCTTCCACCTATAGCTTGTCGTAGATATGATGGCTCGTAAGTCAAATCATTCATCAAGAAAAAACATGCTACTTCAACACCAACTACTCCAAAATCCATTTCCTGCAAAATTAGAGCAAAATAACATCACATCTATTAACAAAATTCCCAAGACTCATGCAAAACTCTAATTTTAATGCGTCAAAATGACCGTAAATTCACGGTACATCAACACCCTCAACTTAAAATTGTTGCTTGTCCTCAAGTGACGCAATAGACTCTAAACGATACTTATGCATAAGTAATTCAAAGTTCATGCAATCACATGGCATTTTCTTACTAATCACCGCTCCTTATTTGTTTACCCTAGTGCAATCTTTTAGTTAACTCAGCAAACCAAAATATGTGGATCAATACATGACATAGACATACCAATAGACACATTCACATACGCAAACAACAATCACCAAGATACCAGATTTTCTAATATGTAACTTGTGCCCTTACCGAAAAGAAATCCCTTTTGTTCACATAAAATAGGTGTTTTTATTAGGGACTCAGTAGAAACTCACACTCAAAAATTGAATTCAGTATAGTTTATGCACAATACCATATAGGTTTGCCCTTATTTTCTATGCTTCGATTTTTCAAACTATTAAACTGGATCACTATAGGACTTTTTTAGCTTGTAACGTAGGCTCAGGGTCAGGTGTGGTATATTTAACTATTAAGTGACTTTCCTACCCTCCTTGACATTACATTGGCTATTTTTCTCTTTTACAATTCATCTTGGCATCACCTTGCTTTTGCTCTTCTCCATGTTATTTATTTAAGCTCGGTGTGACTTTGACTTGATTTCTTTTTTTGCTTCAGCTTTCCTTCATCTTTTTCATTTAATCTTTTCATTATTTTTCTTGATGTTCGTTCACACCATTTACAAACATTTTTACACACTTTTGTTCTGTTTCTCTACACATAACTCTTTTCATACCCCTTTCTTTTCTTGTTCTCCTCCATAACAGCCCCCCTCAACTTAAGCTTTTAGTGTGGGTTGAAGAGCACGATGTCCCAGGAGGGACCAGGGCCAAAATAAAGGTGAACAACTCTAAAGGAAAGCCACCCTCAAATTAGGCTTTTAGCCTGAGTTAAGGTACACAATGTCCAAGGAGGGACCAGGGCCAAAGCAAAGTTTATGAATTTATTCGGGCAAGGAGAATTGAAAAAAATAGTCTTCTTTAGGCTCAAACATTTGGATCGAAGAGAGAAATTTATTCATTTTGGTTGGTTGTTTTTAGGCTTAAGTGAACTCATTCTCCATAATGGCCTATTATCCTTTCCTAATTCAGAGTGTAAATCATCTTAGCAAGAACAATGGGGCAAGTTCTAGATTCGTATGCACCATATGACTATGCAAACATCCCTACACACATGGCACCTTATTTGACTATCAAATCATCAATATACATGGTTCATTTATATCTTAAGTCATGTTGTCTAATCGATTCCCATAATGTCACAAAAAGATCCTACATATTTAGCTTATCAATTACACAGACATATCACATATCATTTTTGGAGGGGTCTCCCTTTTCATGTTTTTTTGTCATCATTCTTTTCACTCTAACTAATTTTACACTTATACTATCCTAGACATGTCGGTTCAACAAAAATTAAACAGTTCCTTGGAGAAAAAGAGCAAAGGCAAGAAAATCCCAAGGAAGGATTGTGAGTTGGGTTATTCAAACTTCACCCTCTCAATCACAACCCGTTCACCCCACCCCCACATGAAAAGCAATGTAATGCCCTCAATGCACATAATAAATAACACCAAGGATGAGACAAACTTGTGGCACATAAGCGCTAAAGATCAATCAAGGGTTGGTGGGTCCGCTTACCCCAAACCCGTTGGATCACCATGTGTGATGCACTCACTGATGCCCTAAACTATAACTGAAGTAGCATCATCAGTAGTGCCCCTCGAACCGGATGCTCTGGCAGCCAACTCCCTCTCTATAAGCTTTCGCATCTCCTCATTAAGTCGCAACTGCTTTTGCACCACCTCAAACTGATGCATGTTCTCTTTCCTAGCTCTCTGCTCTTCCTCCGTATCAGTAGTACGCTCTGAAGCCCCTGTGCACTTTCCAGCCACACGATGACGGATAAGGGCAGGCTCATCCTTACTGAACAGTTCATTTAGCACCACATCTCCACCATCATCCTCGGGGTGTGAGGGTTTGGTATAACAGAGTAAATAGAAGCCAAAGCATCAATATCAACCCGGAGCTTGGCCAACTCCATTTGGAAATTAGCTAGATCAATAGTAGGCTGAGGTCTATCTAATATTTGTAGCTCAAAAGCATATATTCTTCGATGCACTACCTGTATCTTCACCACCACAACTTGTTCTACCCTCTTCTCAGATTTCTCAACAGCCTTCTTCATCCATGGATGAATGTGCTGCAAAAGTGTCGCCATCTGAGTCTCTAACTTTTGGACTCTGGTTAGTAGCATCAAAGCATAACTTGTAGGAGTAGGAGCACGTGGTATGCTCTCGGCCGGTCCGGATGACGAAGAAGGTGGGGCTGCCATATCGGGATGCATAGGTGGAGCTGAAATATTGCCCTCTTCGGGCTGCGTTGAAGCAAGGTCCTCGTTCATATGCGGCAAGTTAAAATGTATATCCCTCCATGGAGCTGCGGGTTTTGCATCATCCCGTATAATACCAACGTCGACCATCTTGGTCATCTCAATCAATCGGTCACATCCCCACACTGGAACTGTAGCCTTTCTACATAGGAAAATTTTTAGACACGTAAATGGTAGTGTGGTCTCCTCCTGGAAAGCCCTCTCATGAATCTCGGCTATCAGACTCTGAGAAAAATCTATCTCGTGCCCTGCCATCAAATAAGCAAGCATCACCACACGATCCCAAGTCATTATGCTATCCACCATCGTGGGGGACAATTTGGCCCGGATAATAGACCACCAGAACTTGGCTGCAAAATTAAGAGTCACCTTTTTTATAGACAAGGTCATGTCACAAACCCACTCAGAGCTCACCACCTCATCAACAATATGCCCAGCTATCCAGCGCAACAAGGTCTCTCTCTGCTCAGTGTCACGCATGGCTGATAAATGATGGTTTCTAAAACTTTAGGGCCTAACACGACAGAGGTTGGGCCTTTCTCCAGTCCGTTGTTGTACACAAATTCAGTATCCATATGTGATTCCACTTGTTGACTATACTGTCAATTTGCAAACAAAAATAATGATTACTACCTACAGTTTAATATATTAGCAATATAACAGTAGTAATACATATACACTCAATTACCTTGGAAATTCATGTTTTTGAACTTTTGATCACTAGGTGTCATATGGATAAGTTTTTAGATTAAAGAGAAACTTATTTGTTGTGCATGAAACTATTGCTGATGGGGATGCCACTCAGGTTGAGCACATGGGACTGCCACGTAAGACTGCTAGAAAGGTCACTCCTCCTAAAAGACTTGGGGATTACGTTTGGAAAGGGGGGAAATCATGTGAGGAAGGGTAAAATTGGCAAGCAGTAGGCATAAAGCATCATGAGTGGAGCAGTGCAGTGCAGACTACTTTGTTGTTATCACTGGGCACTCTTTCTCTCTCAATTTCTTCTTGTTCCTCACCTCCTTCTTCTTCTATTATTAGATATACTACTTCTGCAATTTCCCTTTGTATTTTCTTATTTTAGAGACTTCACTACATCTACTACTTATAAGTTGAGTTCAAGGCTATTAATACAAGTGTGGTTAGTGTTTCACTGTGTCCATTCATTACATTGGTGCTTTCATCCAGAGGTCTTCAGTGGATGACCAAAGACTCAAGTCACTTGTTGAAGAATCAGTTCAGGGTATGAAAGAGTCGATTCTTGCAGATATTTGCTCCTTGTTACTGGAAGTGCTAGGAAGCAAAACCCAACGCCCAGAGAGGGACTCACATGATGACTATTTTTTGACAGCCCCTAACCTCCGTCACAAGCCAACATCAGTGGAATTTGGCCATTTATGTGGAAAGAATCCGGAGGCTTGGATCTTTCAGGCAGAACAATATTTTGAATTTTACAAGATTGCAGAAGACCAGCATCTGTCACTTGCTTCTTTTTATCTGGACGGGGATGCATTGGAGTGGTATCAGTGGCTTTTTCGAAATAAACAAATGGTGTATTGGGAGCACTTGGCTTCGAAGGTGCGGATCCATTTCCACAAAAAAGATTGGAGTCCACCGAGGGACGTTTGGCGAAGCTCCGGCGAATGACCACTGTCTCAAATGTTCAGTCTAGATTTGAGATCATTGCAAACGAGACTGACTACATGGATGATAACCGAATGGTACGTCTCTTTATTTCTGAGCTTCGTGATGATATTAAGAACCCTGCTTTGGTCCATAAGCCAAAGAGTTACGAAGAGACACTTAATTTAGCCCATATACATGAGCAACAAATCCAAGCTGAGAAAGGACCCGTTAGGCCAACTTTTGCTAAAACAACTCCCCTTTTGCCTACCCCAAATTCCACAACCCTAAATCAAAATATCTCTTCTTTTTTAGCCCCTTACGCTGCTTCCCCTTCGATTCACACTCTTCTTAGAAGGCTCACAAATGCAGAGCTCCAAAGCCGCCGTGAGCGGGGACTATGTTATTATTGTAAGGAAAAGTAATCATCGGGACACAAGTGTAAGAAACCCCCACAACTTATGTTTCTCACTGATGGATCCAATTTGGACCCTAGCTTGCCAGAGCCGTTTATTGATGATGATTTCTTAGTGGGGGAATCACAAGGTTTAGAATTATAGGAGCAATCATCTATTTCTTATCATGATTTATCTGGGGGAATTTCACCCTCCATATTACGATTCACTGGAAAAGAAAATGGGTCACCAGTCCAAGTTTTAGTGGATGGCGGAAGTACTCACAATTTTGTGCAACCACGTACGGCTAAACATCTTCAGCTCAAAGTTGAGGTCATTCCCCGTTTTGCAGTTATGGTGGGCAGTGGACAAAGTCTCCCGTGTGAAGGTGTGGTGAAGCAAATCACTTTATTGATTCAAGGGTGTACTATAGTCGAGGATCTTTATGTCTTGCCCTTCCAAGTTGTTGATGTAGTACTTGGAGTGGCATGGTTGGCTACGTTAGGGGCGGGTTATAACTGATTATGCAACATGAGAATTTGAATTTAATTTACATAGGTCTAAGTGGTTATAGCAGGGGGATTCATCCACTGATGCTCACCAAATTCATTTGCATAGTTTGAGGCGTATGGCAGTGACAGATGCAATTGCTTCTTTTTTTTTTGGCAATGATTACTCCTGAAGGGAGTAGTGAAGGTGAAATGACCACATATTTGAGTGGTCTATTGGACTCGTATGATGACATATTTCAAAAACCTTCGGGATTGCCACCTTCTCGTGTTTAGAATTATTCGATACATCTCATCTCAGGGGAGCAACTAGTGAATGTTAAACCATATAGATACCCGCACTTCCAAAAGCAGGTCATGGAGCAGATGGTGAAAGATATGCTTAAAATGGAGTTATACAGCCCAACACCAATCCATTTTCATCCCCGGTGCTATTAGTGCGCAAGAAGGATGGCACATGGTGCTTTTGTGTTGATTATCAGGCACTCAATGCCATCACAATCCGAGATCGCTTCCCTATTCCAACCATTAATGAGTTTGTTTTATGAATTACATGGTGCTCAAGTCTTTTCAAAGTTGGACTTGTTATCAGGTTATCATCAGATAAAGTTTAAGCTTGAGGATGTGGCTAAGACAGCCTTCCGTACTCATGACGGTCATTATGAATTTTTGGTAATTCCTTTTGGATTGACTAATGCCCCTTCGACATTTCAGCTACTATGATTGAAATTTTTCGTCCACATGTGCGTCGCTTTGTTCTGGTATTTTTTGATGATATATTGGTCTATAATGCATCTTGGAGCGATCATTTGGAGCATTTAGCAGTGGTATTGCAGTTGTTGAGGCAACATCAACTTGTAGCCAAATGCTTGAAATGCTTGTTTGGTCAAACCTCTGTTGATTACCTAGGACACATCATCTCTGCTCAAGGCCTCTGAGTAGATCTAGACAAAATCAGTACCATTGGGCAATGGCCACCACCACGATCAGTGAAGTAAGTTCGTAGTTTCCTTGGGCTAGCTGGGTATTATCGTCGGTTTATTCACCATTATGTAGCTATAGCATGTCCCCTAACTGACTTGTTACGCAAGGATTCCTTCAAATGGACAGCAGTTAAGCAACATGCTTTCAACACTTTAAAATCTTGATTAAGCTCTACCCCTGTTTTGTCCTTGCCCAATTTCAGTCAGGAGTTTCAGGTTGAAACTGATGCATCTAGGCGAGGTATTGGAGCTATTTTGTCACAAAAAGCCACCATATTGCGTATTTTAGCCAAAAGTTAAGCTCTAGGATGCAACAAGCTTCAACATACCACCAAGAGATGTTTGCCGTTACTCAAGCTGTGAGTAAATGGCGACAGTACCTATTGGGGCGTCAGTTCACTATTCTTACTGATCAACAATCACTACGTAACTTGACTACCCAGACTATACAAACCCCTGAGGAACAAAAATGGCTCGCTAAACTTGTCAGCTATGACTTTCGCATCTTGTATAGGCCTAGAAAATAGAACACGGCAGCAGATGCCTTGTCGTGTACTTTAGAGGCTTTTCTCATGACTATTTCAATCAATTCTTTTGCTATAGAGGTTAATTTGAAGCAGCTGAATCAAACTAACCCCGAATTGGTAGCAATACAGCAGGCCTTGCTTCGTGGGGATAAGGATTTTGATGACTATCAGTTCAAATAAGGGATGTTATTTTATAAAGGTAGGATAGTTAGTCCCTCGAAATCTCCCTTACGTCATAAATTATGAATTGAGTTCCATGCTACTGCTATAGGAGGACATGTCGAGGTTGCCCGCACATTCCATTGTTTGTCATCTAATTTTTTTTGGAAACGGATGCGCAAGGATGTCCAAACATTTGTGGTTGCGTGTCATATATGCCAACAAATGAAAGATTCTTACCTACAATCATTGCCGATTCCAAACTAGGTCTTTGAGGATATTGCAATGGACTTCATTACTTGTCTTCCGAGCTCAAAGGGAAATACCATGATCATGACAGTCGTAGACCGTCTCACTAAGTACGGTCATTTCATTCCACTGCCATCTACTTTCTCGACTCATACAGTAGTTGAGGCCTTTGTGGTGGGTATTATTAGGCTCTATTGCCCTCCTCGTTCTATTATGACGGATCGTGATCCGCGGTTCTTGCACTCTTTTTGGCTAGAGATTAATCGCTTGCAGGGATCCACTTTAGCCATGAGTACAACCTATCATCCTCAAACAGATGGACAGTCTGAGGCTCTTAACAAATGTGTGGAACAATATTTGCGTTGCTACGTCGCTAAGGTGCCTTCCTTGTGGGTTGCTATGTTTCCATGGGCGGAATTTTTGTACAATACTTCCTTTCAAACTTCAGCTAGTATGACCCTTTTTTAGGCACTCTATGGTCGGGAGCCTCCTACTGTTGCTCTGTACATTTTGGGGAGTAGTGTGAGCAAACTGGTTGAGTCCTATCTGTTGCAGCGGGATGAAGTCTTGCACGTCCTCAAAAATAATTTATTGAAGGCTCAGAATCGCATGAAGCGATTGACTGATAAGTCTAGGATTGATACCTTCTTTGAAGTGGGTGATTGGGTGTATGTCAAACTTAAGCCCTTCAACATAATACTTTGTGCTTGCAGCGAGATCATAAGCTTAGGCGGCATTATTTTGGGCCTTATCAGGTGTTAAAACGCATTGGCCACGTCACTTATCGCCTGGAACTTCCTGAATCTGCAAAAATCCATTATGTTTTCCATATTTCTATGTTGAAGTGTTGTGTTGGCAATCCGGATCAGCAAGTAACTCTTCTACATCTGAGTGTTCCTACTACAGAGAATCTTGCTAAGTCCAACCTTGAGGACAATGTTGCTTTCGGGGAAGCGAGTAATGTTGTGAATGAAACTATTGCTGACGGGGATGCCACTCAGGATGAGCACATGGGACTGCTAAGTAAGACTGCTAGAAAGGTCATTCCTCCTAAAAGACTTGCGGATTACGTTTGGAAAGGGGGAAGATCACGTGAAGAAGGGTAAAATTGGCAAGCAGTACGCATAAAGCATAGTGAGTGGAGCAGTGCAGAG